GAAGAAGAAACAAACACATATTTGAAAAATATATATAATATAGAAAATTTAAAACAATCTATTTGATTAAAACACTTATTATATAATATTATTATGTTTGAAAAACATTTACTATACATATCGTAAATATGTGATTACTATAATATATACCAATTTACAAGTGAAAACAAAATGTTTATATAACTAACTATAAACGAAAGCAAACACCCGCGCGGTTGCGCGGGTCAAAATCTAGTCTTATATATTAAAAGAGAAGTCATGACTTCACTTCATGTGTGATATTTTAAAATGGATCATCTAATAGAATTTATGACATTACATTATTAAATCATTAATAACATTCATTAGATTCACTAATAACATTTATTGGGCTTACTAGAAATTTTTATTGGGCTAATAAAAATTAGATGATCCATTGGATTTATAGATATTATAATAAAATACATGTTAAAATTAAACTTATATAATTTAATATTGTAATAGTATAAGTTAATATATATATATTGTTTTGATGTTAACTTTAAAAATTATATAGTTTATTTTTAAAAATAACAAAATCATCATTTTCTAACAATAATTATTTTATACTATATAATACTTAATCATCATTTTCGATATACACACCTTATATAATATATACCAATTTAGAAGTAAGAAAAATGTTTGTATAAAAATAAATGAAAACAAATACCCGCGCGGTTGCGCGGGTTGAGATCTAGTAACAGATTTAAAAGACATCTCTTAATTTTTTAGTTAGAAGCTAAGGGACCGTACGCTAAGAAACCCAACTTAAGGGACATGCAATAAACATGTTGTAACGACCCGAATTTCGGTTTTGATAATTGTTAGCCGCTAAGACTTTCACCCATATTTTTTTTCCTATAAATACCCATTCCCAGCCCATCAGTTTATTTTTCCTGCAACCAAAAGATATATATATATATATATATAGAGAGAGAGAGAGAGAGAGAGAGAGAGAAGTTAATGGGAAATTCTTGTATCTGAGCCACCTGGAGTCGTCGCCGGAGCCACCACACGTCATGACCAAGATGAGCTCGTCACCACCGACCCCCAGCCTAGGTAACCACCGGAAACCACCTCATTTTCAAGTTAGTTTTGAGCTGTTTAGTAAATCATCAATAACTCCCTAACCGTTGAGAATCTCGTGCATAAAAGGCCACCATCGTGTTCTACTCGTCGAGACGAAGCCGTAGACCCTGACCACGCCTCAATCGGAGTCCGGATAAAGCCACACGCACCTTCAAAAGTTTCACCGGAAATCGTCTCCGCCGCCAGACCGCCGGACCACTGTCGCTGCCGGTGACTCGGTCAACTCGGCCAAGTCATTTCAGCGAGTCAACCGGTTGGTTGACTAGTTTGACCGGTTTAATTCAATTGCGTTTTGGTTAAAGTAAACCGACGGTTAAAATCAATTGAATTTTGGTTAGGAGTAAACCAGTTTGTAATTGATTTGAATCTGGTTCAACTGAAATCGAATCCGGTTTAGGAAAACCGGTTGGTCCAATTCGATTTCAATCTGGTCAAGGGTTGACCGGCTTGGGTCAGAGTTGACCGGGTTGACCTTTGACCAGCGGGTTGACTTTTCCGTAGACGCTCGTTTTTGACCGTTCGAAGGGCGTTCTGACTCGGAATTTCAGATTTGGGATCTATTTGAGCAGCTGGAGATCATAGATACCACTTATCCCATTGCTAAGGTGAGGGTCTAGTCCCAAACTTCTTGTACTTGGCTTAGGACCTCGAATATGCATACTTTAATCCTAATATGTTCCGTCTCTGTGAAATCGAGTCTGTCAAATGTCTGTTTGGAGTCTGCTTGATAGCTATTTAGATTATATGCTTAAACCGGAATAAGGAGTCAGATGATTCGACTTTGCTTGCGTAATTTAAATTGATGTAAATATGTATAATAAATATTATATATATATATTATTGTTTTCCAGAGGCAGACTTGGAGTCTGGCCTGTGGCTAGCGGGGCAGAGGGTTGTACCTGCACGCTAGAGAGTTGGGGATGCGGCGGCTTAAAATCGATCCACGTCGCATGCCTCGAGATCAATAAAGCGTCCCTGAGCGGTGTGTATGGGCACTGATCCCATACGTGATGCCTCGGTAGAGGGAGAATCCTACCGGGGGTGAGACCGGGCACTATCTCGGCGTTGGTCTGTTAGCGCGCAGCGACTATATATATATTTATACGCGGGGACCGTGATTGTTTCTTGGGTACCTTAGCTGCCATGTTTGTTACGTGTTAGAGTTAAATTATGTATATTCGGAGTGTTATGTCCGAGTTCACGAACTTCGGGGTAGCATCCCATACCTCACTGAGTGACTCCCCAGTTGCTCACCCCTCTTTTTTTCCCTTATTTTAGGTGAGAAAAGCAATCTCTTATATATTAAAAGAGAATCATTGTAATAAATGAGTTCACACCATAATTGACACTTATCGGCCTTACAATCATTTGACAATAAATGATTTCACACCATAATTGACACACTAATTTTTTAAATTTATTATTTAATGTGTTTATACACTATTTTAAAATAATTTATTTTCCTACATTTTTAGCTTTTGTATTAATAAATTAAAACTTTCTACATGAAACTAATGAATAATATCCTTACTGTAAAAAATTACAAAATCATTAAGATTTGCATCAACTAAAATGTTGCGATTAAAATGTTTGTAGAAATTGAAAGTTTCGTACCTTACCGAAGTTGGTAATGATTGAGGCTTCGGTACACAATAACAACAAATAAGGTGATTGATTATGAATTGAAGAAACTGAGGTGAAAAACACCACACGTAAAGTCGGATCTTTAGTTTAGTCAAATATTAGCATTTTTATAAAGTTTTTATATCAGACCAAGAATTAGAAACAAAATCAAATTGGTAAAAAAAAATCAGAAATCAGAAAAGCTTTAGAAAAAAAGAAAATCACAAAATCGATTAAAAACAGAATTCAGGTACCAAGTGAAGATGTCCCTTTATAATATATATTATTTTTATTATTTACGGGTACAATTTGATTTTCTTCATATGAAAAATGTTATTAATTTCTAGGTTTGTTTTATTTTTACTTAATTTTATTTAAGAATTTACTATCATGTGTTATTTTGAACAAAAAAATTTTAAATCATAATTTATCATCACATTTATATACTTTGACATATACATGCATGTACACATTGACATGAGCGACTATATAACTAAATATTCACCACAAGTGATAATTTTAATTCTTATTGAAGTTGGATTTTTTTTTAATATTTTCTTTCCCAATCGTTCAAATTGTAGTGAAATGTTTTATATTAATATTTTTTTCTTTTTTTCAAATATTATTTAGATTTTATTTGATTTTACATGTCTTTAGAAATTATAATAGGAAACTATTAGTTCGACATAAAAAATGTCTAAAATTTATATAAAACGAAACCAAACAAATAATAATAGTTTTTGGTTATCATCGAAAAAATAAAAAATATCAAACATTTAAAACAAACAAACCAAAATAAATATAGATTTAGAATGATAGTTATATTTTAGGAAAAACAATGTAAAACTGAACCAATATTCATGTTAAACAGACATAATATCATTTTATCTTAAACGTAATTAAAATAATAATCTCGTTCCGCGCAAGGCGCAGGTTATTACCTAGTCAAGTGATATTTGGACGACTTTGTGCTACTGGGTTTTTCTATTCGGATTTTTATTTGGGCTTGGGCGAGTGTAGTTGGATTTTTGGGCTTTTATGTAGCGAGATATTATTGGTGGCCCGTCGACGCCGTCGTCCCTAAAGAGAGGGAGACAGTGGCACATTATTATTTGATGACGCGTCGGGGATGGCACGCTATCCTCCAGGTAGAAGGTGACGGGCGTTTCACATGCTCTAATCAAAGTTCACGTAAACCAGTTCTACGTAACAAAACCTATAAGTGATGTTGCCATACATAGTTGTTATTGTAACAAAACAAAGTGATTTTTATTTAAAAAAAAAACATTAACATGTTTTAAAGTACATGATTTAAATAAGTAATTAATAATATAAATTTTGTTTTATTAAAAATATTAATTATATTTGGGCCTGAAAATAGTAATTAATTTTTTTGATCTATTAAGGTGGAAAGTTTATTCAATGTTTTGAAGTTTTTTATTTAATACTAAGCCCAAAAACCAAACCATATAATTTATCCTAAAAACAAAAGCAAGCCCAAAACTTTATTCAACAAATAATCGCCGGTTTAATTTAAGTAATGCAATATAGTTGTATGACTTGTATTATTTGTAACACTCTAGAAAATATTCAAATTTGAATGACTAACTTATATCAATAGATAAAAAAAACATTTTATTTTAAAAGGGTAGATATAACAGGTGGAGCTGATGTGGCAATTTAAAACTTTGTGATAAGTTGATTTTTTTGTCTTTACGTGGACAGCTTAGATGTTGATCTTATTTAACTTTTAGTATTGTTAAAAATATTAATTATATTTGGGCCTGAAAATGGTAATTAATTTTTTTGATCTATTAAGGTGGAAAGTTT